ACATGCCCTGGACAGCCTGACAGCACGCCTGGGCTGAGCATGTGGCGTTTTGCACCTAGTTTGCAGGATGTATATTCAGGCTTCCGTGTCCCTGGCAGTGACGCCCCATGGAGGACGTCACCTCTCACTGACCTCCACGGGGTCTCACATCTTTGCACTGTGCCTGCCTCAACTACCCCTAACAGATATGCATATTCCCTCCAGATGCCTCAGTGCTACTCCAGAGCGAGTCTGGTCCCGGGACAGGAATGTGGTTGAAGCCAGTGGCTTGAATGTCCTGGAGACTGTTGCATACCCAGCACTCCCCGGATGTACAATGTAACTTGTTTCAGTCAAACAACAGGTTCCTCATGTCTCTGCCTTCTCTACCAGGGTTGTTCCCTCATCCAAACAAACGAACAAGGGATGCCAGCTCGACTGGTACCCATGGCTCCGTCAGTTTTCTTGGGTGCAGCCCGTCTGTCTTATGGACTCTGCCTTGCTTTGCTCGTGTTCAGCTGTTCTCTGCTACCTTTCGAGCAGATTTCTTTACTACAGTGCACTGGATTGCTATATTTTTAACCAGAAATAAACTACAGATTAGAGCATGTTCCAGCGACACTTAGCTTTATTGTTTCCGTTACCCACCCTGTTCCCTATCCACTGCCTGTCCCTTCTCCCAGGCTGGTTTGGATTAGGGGTCGAGGTGGGGGGAGAGGCTCAGCAAGTACCCTGATGCATTTCTGGTGTTTCTAAAGGGTTCCATCTTTTTGTACAGCTTACTTTTCCATTCACTTTTTTTAATATCAAGAGGTTGCTACAGATCTGGCGTGAACCAAATAAAGATTCCTGCTCTTTGCAGCCATGAAAGCAGTCCATACTAGGCTATGTGAATTGTAATTTTGTCTGCAGAGATGATGGACTCAGTGTGCATCCCAAGAGCTGCATGGTCCAAAATGGTGCCTGCTCACATCACCTTGACATATGCACTAAGCCCGGCCCAGATGTGCCTAAAAGGATCTCACAGGGGACAGCGTTCATCCCCTTTCACTATGAGTGATGTTACCATAGAACCAAATCCAGTCTGGCACTCACTGGCAGCCTGCAGTACATGCAGCATGAAGTCTCTTCTCTAGTCCTAGTGGATTCTAGGCAGAGGTGATGGAGACTGGGACGCACACTGGGTCTTGGGCTCTAGCAAGCTGCCCTGAAGTGAAGGAGACACCTTGCTGCAGCTTGTGGCTACTTTCATCTGTGCAGAGCCCATCTCCTCCCTGAAGGCAGAGTAGATGCAGCATGTTGAGCAAGAGGAGGATGGTGGCTCGTAGGGACAGAACAGGGTGTCACTCTGGCTTCCAACTCTGACACTGTGATGAGTCTTGGATAAGATTCAGCCCGGTCTCAGAAGACACACTTTCTTCCAAAATGAAGAAAAATCCTTTCTGGAGGAGGTGGAAGACACCCAAGGCCCTTGGTGCCTGCAGCATGGCTGTATGGCTGTTGAGCACTGAGTACTGCACACTGAAGATTCATGCCAGCACATATGGGGTGCATGCGTGAGTCTCAGCATCATAATGCTAAGTCTGAGGAGTCCCAATGTCACAGACCAGACAGCAGCACAGAGCCCAGGATAACTGGTCATGATGGTGGTGGTCAGAAATCCCACATAGCTCCCACCATGCAAGGGCCATACAGAGGATCTCAGAGAGCAGAGAGAGCAGTGTGCTTTCCATTAAAGTTTCTGCTTTGAGATGAATTACTGACAAGCAGGCTCCCCACCATGCACACTAATCCCTAGAACCCAGGGCAAGTAGAGGGCAGCCACACATTCCAGTTCCAGCTGGTTTCTGCTCACTGGCCAAACAGGTCCAGCTTACGACAAACCACAGGGCCACCCTCAGGGAGACTGAAGACACTGCTGGGAGCCAGAGTGTGCTCAGAGGCCCAGCTGCGAGCATTAGTGATGAATGCTCAGGGGGACAAGAGTTCTGGTGTGTTGTCCTTTCTGGTTTGAGTCCAAGACCCTTGAATGGCTGGTAGTTCTAGGCAGTAACCTCGCACAGATATCAGGCATGTCTGTCATACATCTGTACCTACCCTGCTCCAAAGGTCTCTTGGCTGCTTGTTTTATCCCCTCTGTAACCTTCCTCAAGAGGATGTAGGACGCTGTCTTCCAGCTTACGCTCAGTTATACTTCCTGCTGTCTTCCCACTATAGCAGTCTCTGGTCTCCGGAGCTCAGCACAAAGAACCTGTTCGATTCCAACATGTCTCCACACTTCATCATCTACTGACAGCCACGGGCTACTTGATACCACACAGATCTGTACCATTACAATGGGTTAGCATCCAGACAAAGAAGGGATTGTGAGTCCTTAACTCCTGTCCCCATGAGGTCAGCTGCAAGTCAAGCATTCACCAAGACAATCAAATGTCCCCAAATATCAAGAACTGTCTGTCCTATGTACCTTGGCCTTTAAAGAAGAAAAAGTATAGCTGTTTTGTTGAAATTAACAAACAAAAACAGCTAAGCTGTATTTCTGGTGTGAATTTTGGGAATATGCCCACAAGACCCTCCCTCCCTTCCTGAGGAGCTCCACAAGGCCTTCATGGCAGCATGAGACAAGGACAGTGCAATTCTTACATGGCTTAGCACTCTAGACCCTAGCAGATGTTCCTCCTGGAGTCTGCTTCTTCACCCCTCCCCAATGTGGCCAGGCTGAAATGCAATCTCCTTTGGCTCAGTTCCTTCCTAAACCTCAGAGAAATACTGGGATACACCTAGTTGGAGAGTGGGTACATTCCACAGGAGCTGGGCTGCAGAGATGCAGATCAAGGGTTTCCAAGGTTGTTCAAAATAGGCAAGGTCACACACAACTACCTCACTTCTGGGCTGGCCTGTAGCCCATCCACCCCATACTGCAGTTCAAGATGCAAACACCCATGTATAGGGTAAGCATTTTTGACTGACCCATCTTGCCCTTTGCCTAACTCACCTGGTGCAAATGGGTCTCAGCTAGATGCTGGTCTACTTCCTTCCCTGTTTGACAATGCCTGCTAGCATGCTTCTTTCTGTCTACCTTGGTGACCTTGACTCAACTTTGATGAAGGTCAGCCCAATAACAGAGCTGTCTCTCCGAGGGTGATGTCTGAGGCTGTTGAAGGTCCTATGTCCTAAGGGCACAGTAGCCTTCACATTGGTTGCAGGCTCCCATGAACTATGCAGAAATAGAAATAAGTGCAGCCTGTGGGGTACACAGTTCAATCTTGCCCACCAAAGGGTTCTGTTCTCTCCTTCTCAGAGCCAACATCCACTTTAAGTAAGGATATCCCAATTTACCTCCAACAAATGGCTTTCCCAGACCATTCTGAGTCCACAAGGCAGACACTTGGGTACAGGTTGAAGACTCAGGACACAGCAGGTAGCATCAAGTGGTACGTAGCATTGTTCCTCCATCATAAGACCCGGTGTCTGGCAAACGCTGCTTACGACACCCACCAGCCCAAGCACTGCCTCACTGGGAGCAGCTGTAGCTACACAAGCCCAGGTGGCTGTAACAGTCAGGGCCTACAGCTGGAAACAGGTCCAAAGACAACAACCTCATACTCAGTGGCTCTCTGGACTGGCACTCCTGAATCTGTTGCTGTCCACAACTGAGCCCTCCTCCCAGCAGGCCAATCCTGAATGCTCTAGCGTGAGCCTGCTGATTGTATCATTCAGCACTCCCCAAAGAAAATCCACTAGATAACCTGAGGACTGTGTGCTGAGAGCTTCACGTGGCCACAACACTGGTGTAGATGCCTTCTTGTGACTGAACCAACAGTCTTCATCTGCTTGATCTTTTTCTCTTGGTGCATGTAAAACACCCGTTAATGCGACTGCTTTGCAGAGGACAGGGAGGGGCTGTCAACTGAGTTTTCTCACTGGCACAGTGGCTGCTCTTGCCTTGGCCTCATCAGTTGGAAGCAGCTTGGTTAATCAAAAACTGGAAACGATTCCTCTCTAATGAATGTAACTTTAAATCAGATTTCACACCTGAAGCAAGGGACACTCAAGATTCAAGTTTCTCTGCTCCTTTACTTAATAAACTCATTTGAAACCATAGGAAGCTTGTCTCATTTCATTACAGACCACATTCCCGAAGCCCCCATTGCCACAGGTGCAAGGTGGTTGGAGCTTCTACCACCCAGTCCCTCCCAGTCTGGAACAGGAGCCCCAGTAGAGCACCCTGCCCAAATGTTTCCCTATAGCTAACTCCTTGTTCCGTCCAGCACCAGGAAGGAACACAGGGTGCTTGAATCTCTCACGACACAGTCCATCTTTGTGGGCAGAAGGATGGTATGAAATAAGAATGAGCCCTCATATAGTCCCCTTCTAATCACAGAGGGTCACCCCCATCTCCCTCATCCCTGACATGCTCTAGTGCTTCCAAATCCTGCCTCTAGGCAGACTGTCAAGCCCTGGAAACTGCGACCAGGATGCAAGCTCAAAGAAGCTCTAGCTGTCTCCAGCCCCTGCACTATGGCTACCTGTTGTGCTGACAGCTACCTGGGTTTCCATAGGACATGACTGCCTCAAGGACACTGGGTCAGACCAAGTGACCGAATGCTGAGTGCTCTGGACAAACTAGTGAGTCCCTTGGGAAGCGCTTTGCTCTACGGTACTAACTGACCCATGACATCAGCAGCACTTAGTTCACTTGGCACATGGATCTGAGTGACAGTTGGCACACTGATCTCACACTCCTGGGCGGGAGCCCCACCGTTCCTTCATATAAAGGAGCAGCTATCCCTCATGGAAACTCATGTTTCCACCCCATGGCATACTAGAAAGGGGTTTCTGAATGCAAGGCTGTCATTTCTGACCAGAACCGGTTCCTCTGGCAGGAAGGCTTCTTCTAGCCTTGACACCTTTGTGTGTTTTTGTTTCATCATCTGGCCACTGACTTGAAGCAACTCATTCTTAAAAAGTTAACACCACTATGAAACCATTAAGAAAAAAAAAATCATACTTAGGTGAAGGGTTTCCAGCCACGTGTAGTGGCACACACCTTTAATTCCAGCACTAGCAAGACAGAGTCAGGTGGATCTCTACGAGTCCAGCCTGGTCTACAGAGTAAGTTCTAGCACAGCCAGAGCTAATATAGTAAGAACCTGTGTTCAAAACAAAAAAACAAACAAACAAACAAACAAAAAAAAAAAAGACAAGGGTTTCCAGTCTGCTTGGTGTTTCCTTGCTCAGTGTTTCCTTTGTTATGATTCAACTCTACCAACCCCAAAAGATCCAGGACCTTTAAGCAACCCCTCAGCCTTAGCTAATGGCATGAACCAGGTAGCTAGCTCAGCTGCTCCTGGGGATACCATACTCAAACCCCACACACCCACCTGGGGTCACAGACTGCTGCCAGGAGTGGGCAAAAAGTCACAGGTACCATGTATTCCAGGTTACCCTGACCCAGCAGCCCAGGCTGCACACACCCAACTCTGCCCTTGTCACAGTAGCCACAGTGATATTGGACATCCCCAACTGATGGTGGCAGTGAAGCCATGTCCATCCTGAGGTCTGCCTGGTTCACCCTGCCTGGGTGAGCCCTTCCTCACTGATTCACGGTTAAGGTCTGTCTGCTTGAACTCGGCCTTGTGCCCAGTCAGATGGCCACCCATTCACCCTGTGAAGCTCACAGGCCAGGACAGGCAGCAGATACTTCCCAACAAGGAGCTGATTCCTTGGAGCTTTTCTATTTCTCTTGCCTTGGCTTAGAATCAGTCTCGCTATGTAGCCTGGTCTGGCCTGGCTCTGTCACTCTTCCTGCCGGCTGTGCAGTAGGCACTGGCAGTGCCATGAGGAGCCGGGTTCTTACCCTGCAACCTCCCTATCATTTCACAGAAGACAATGTCCAAAGGAAAGAAGGGGAGGTGCCACCACTTCCTACTCAGAAATACTGCAGTGGAGGGGCTGAAGCGAGTGACAACTCAGAGCTTACGACCACCTGCTGCCTTTCCTCAAGGCCCAGGTTCAGTTCCCAGTACCCATCTCACGTATCTTATAACTCTCTGTAACTCCAGCTCCAGGACTCCTAGCCTCCATGAACACTTGACAAATACATTCACATGAATAAAGTGAAAAGACATGTCTAAGCCAGGTGGTAGTTGTGGTGGTGGTACAGACCTTTGATCACAGCACTCGGGAAGCTGAGGCAGACAGATCTAAGTTCAAAGCCAGCTTGGTCTACAGAGTGAGTTCCAGAGCAGCCAGACCTACACAGAGAAACCCTGTCTCAAAACCCATCCCAGCCCTAAAAATATATGCCTGAAAGTGAGGGAGGAAAAAAAAATGGACATATCCATGCATGCATAATATTCTACCATGAAACCCACAGCACAGAGGCAAATAACAGAGAAGGCTAACTGGCGTAAGAGATGTAAACACTCCACAGCAGCTTCAGGTGACTGCTGGGCTGTTGGTGACCTTCAGTTTGATGACACACAGCTTATCTCCTTGTTCTGTAGAAGAAGGAAAACCTTAGAGCACACAGCCAGCTTTATTAGGACACATATCCTATAGGTCCCTCACATTCACGTCTCACTCTAACCTTCCCTCAGAGTGGACAAAAGCTGCTGTGAAGATGGTGAATTCCTTCCTCATCAGGCTGCTGGCACCTAAGGCTGCACAGAAGACAACCTCTGCAGGGGCCTCCTCATTCCTGGCTTAAAGGACATCAATGATGCTGAATCTAGAGTTTGGCCTGGGCAATGTCTTGAACTGCATCATCAATGAATGTTTTTGCCATGGCATGGGCTACTTTCAGCACTTTCTTCTCCTTTGCATCGGGCCCCATGTGGTTCCGGGCAAGCTTCAGCCAGTACTGTTCAGTGCGGGACAGGTACTCTTCGTACTGCTCCCCAGGAGCCATCTCTGGGTGCTGTGGATCTTTCCATCCCAGAAAGAAGAATGAAACAAGAGCATGCTCAGTCAAGGCAGTTCAGAGGGATCAGGGCAATGCTGCACTGAATGGCAACCTGCCCAGACCCACTCTAGACACAAGCACTGTTAAAACAGAACTCACACAGAGCTACTGTGCAGGACAGTCACATCTGACTAGGGCTCTCACCTGCTCCCTCTTCAGCACTGTCCTCCGTACTGTCCTCCTCCTGGTCCGCCTCGCCCCCCTCTGCACCCTCCTCATCTGAGCTGCTGTCCTCTTCTGAGTCGGTCTCTTCCAGCCACTCCTGAGATTCTGACAAAACACAACCAACACAGGGTTCTGGCTACAGCCCGGGGGCAGAGAACACACACAAGGGGGAGTTGGCATCACGTCACAAAACCCCTTCTACTCAGGGACTGGGACAAGAACGCCAACTCTCCCGCCCTGAAGCCTGGGATTGACAGGACAGCACATGCCTCTCAAACCACAGAGCAACTTGAGAGAGATACTGTGGTGGGCACCAAGTCCAGCCATACTGCCACCCTAGCAGTAGGCAACGGAGTGGAGGCTGCCTCTTCCTGGGTTCCGACAGCCCCAGTGGTTCCCAGATGGTGACACGCCCTGCTGCACTATGGGCAGTGCCTCTCTCTAGACATGCAGGCTTAGTTTCAAATCTCAAAAAAGTGAATGGTAGAACTGGGCATGGCAAGGCACACCTTTAATTCCAGAACTCAAGGCAAAGGCAGGTGGATCCATTTGAGGTCAAGGCCAACATGGTTTATATAGCAAGTTCCAGGTCAACCAGGAACATAGTGAGACTGTCAAAAAACAAAAAACAAAAACAAAACAAAACAAAAACCAGGATTTGGGACCAACAGCAGTCTAGAATACAATGGGATGTCATGATTTCTGAGCAATGATAGATGGAGAGAGCTACGAGCTACCAACTCAGTGCCAGCCACCAAAGGCAGATTCAAGTCCTCCCTGGTCTGCACTGTGCTGGAAGATGGGAGGCACGTATAGCAGGCCTGACCCAGGTACTGGTGACTTGTGCTGCTCCTGGTAGTACTCAGAGCGCATAGGTGTATGCCAGGTGAGCACCCCTCTATACCCAGGTTCTTCTGAGGGAAACCTGGCCCAGAGTCAAGAGCAGTGTTCCCTGCAAGACAGGGCAGAGGCTTTCAGAAGATTCTCACTCCATATGGTGGTTTCACCCAACCCAGCTTACTTGGATCCATCTCTACCAAGGTTCTCCATTCTTCCATCTTGTGAAGGTCAAGGCAGTAGAGATCACTAAGGGTCACTTGGCGGTCACCAGCTTCAAACATGCCACCATAGACATAGAGCAGTCCATGCTTGACAGCCAGCATGGCATTTGAACGCGGACATGGCTCCTGCCCAGTGCTGCTGGCCTCCAGAGCACGGTCTTCAGCCTTAGATGGGGATTGTAGCACCAGCCCAGAGGGAGCAAGCACTTGTTTGATGGTGATCACTGTCCCATCTTCAGCCACCACCTCTTTTATCACCTCCAGCGGCTCTGGGGCACCAGTACCCCCATTCTCCTGTCCAGTGGCACCTTCATGTTCCTCTACTTTGCCCCGCCTCCGCTTCTTCTTGTCCGACTTGGGGCCCTGTTAACACAACTCAAGCTGCACAACAGGGCAGTGACAGCCCTCCCTCTAATATGCCAGTCAACATACCATCAAACACGCTACTCCTGGGAAAAGGAGTAAAGCAGTTCAGGAGTGAGCACAGACACTCCAGCTAGCAAGATGGCAGGCTACACACTGGGATTCGGCCTGGCTAACATGAAAGCGGTGTATGTCTGAGGCTTATCTATCTTGGGAAATCCTATCCATACACAAAGGATGCAGACTACCACTCCCAGCCAACAAGACTGGATGACAAGGGGTCAGCACTCCACACTGATCTTTAAGACCATGTAGGGCCCTCAACCATTAGTACTTCAAAGGTAGCCTCCCACCTGGTTCTCATGAACTCTGTCTCCCTGGCCATTCTGCAGGGTACAGCTGAGTGGCTCTGTAGTAGCCTATGCCCTCTAGCAGAACACCCTGCTCACAAGATGGCATTCACTGAGCTCTATTCAAATATTCCAACTATGACTACCTCCAGCCAACCTGGGTCACCTCCGTGTTCTAGACACAAGACCCACTTCATCCTAAGGCTGTTGGGTCTTACACAGAACAGCTCCTGGAGAACATCATGGGGCCTACAGGCCAAGTAATCTGAAATATAAGGCTAACCTTCACACTGGTTCAATGCTCTTGGCAATGGACCCTGAACATTTATGCCTGGTGCAGCTTCTCACAGCAGGGGCCTACATGTGCAAGGCTGCTTTCTATCAGAGACCCTCCCACAAGGCTGAGCCCATAGCAGGTACTAGTGTCTCCTGTGCTGTGGGCACGCAGAACAATTCACTTGTGCAGATGCCAGGGCTGCCTGAGGCTCTCTGGGGGCTATCACCTGCTGGTCTGCCTGTTCCGGGCAGGTCCTGAGCACCAGCAACACTGACAAGGACAATAGAAAGGGTGACAGAAACCAGGGCTGAGCTCAAGTAGCAGACATTAACTGGCACAGAGAACCTGACACGTTCTCAACAGCTCAGCTCTGCCAAGATGAGGTGGGTGACACCAAGAAGAACAGGGCCACCAGCATAGCCACTCAGGACTCACACAGAAGAGTATGTGGACCTTTAAAGGAAGCACCAAGGCTTGGGGTAGGTAGGACATAGACAAGTAACGTGGAAGACTCAGGGGTCTAGGCTACCTTCAGCTGTGCTGCGAACCAGCGACTCCTGGCAGCATCATAGAAATACAGGTCACTAAAAAAAGAGCCCTCCAGGCTCTCCTCTTCCTCCTCATCACACACGCCCCCAAAGACCAGTATCTGATGATTTGGAGCCACGGCCACGGAAAAGCCAGACCTTGGAGTAGGCTTGACCCCTGAAGGGTTAATCCGGGTCCAAGTCCATTTGCCTGTCAAAGAGAACAGAAGAAGGGGTAAGAGGGGACACTGAGAGCCAACCAAGGACACACAGAAAGCCCTGGGCACCCAGGATGAGGATAATTGCGAGTGTTTGAAACCATTTAGGCATGGAGCCTCACTTTGTTCCCCTTGCAGGAATAGGGAATGCCAGTCAACAACCCTCTAGGTTCATCCTTCTCAAAGTTCAGACGTGTGACACTGCCTATGCCTCAGACACTGCCTTCTAAGAGATCCTGGAACCAACTATGAGAGGCAGAGAGACAGATGTGGAGGTACCATCTTGCTAGAGGATCATGGTCTAAAATATACCTCACTGGGGTCCTAAGCCAGCCCACCCAGTCCTGGACTATACTACCTCTCCTCTGGAGACAGCTGTTCTCAGCTTTCCCAGCAGGTGCCAAATTTATCTGACAGTGCTGACTATGTGGCCTGGTACAACACATGGAAAATGTCTTCCAATTACTTCTGGAAGAAGAGCTGAGACTGTCCTCTCACTAAACATTAAGAAGTACTGCAGCAGCCCAGGGACCACAGTCAAGCCTCAGCCCCAAGCTATGCACCCCTAAGCCCAGACCATATTTCCTAGTAAAACAGGGCAAGCCCCACAGAATTCCATATCCTAATGTTTGAGTGCTCTTGAATAAAGCACACATTCTTTAAAATGTCAAGACAGGACAGGAGAACAGTAGCACCTTCCTTTCCATCTCTCACACCACATCTACATGGCTTTCATGCCTTGGGGCCCTGAGAATGCATGCTCAGTGAGCCTACCCCAATGTGTCCTCCCCAATCTTACCTCTAAGCATGAAGGTTATACCTGAGAATAATATAAATATAACACATGACCTTCGAAGGGAGACATAAATGGCTGAGTGATCTGGGCTCCTGCTGGGTTCCAAGGCACACTAAGGACTCACCCATGTCATATAAGGCACCATGGCCCAACCACTCCAGAGAAAGGTGGTCTGGTCCTTAGCTCTAGACAAGTAACAGGAAACTCAATGCAGCTCCCATTTTGATAAGAGGGACGACACACAGGCTTTGCTTCTGCCCAGAGACTAAATGCAACCCACCACAAGGACATACAACCAAGCCATAGTCCTCAAGGCACAACAGTACCTTCTCCCCCTTCCTCAGGCTTCAGCAGGAACATGTCTGAGTGCTGGGTGCCTTTGTCCACATCCTTCTTGACTCTCTGCAAAACAAATAAGTCCTGAGAACCAGCCAGGCTGCAGCAGCACTTAAGAGGAGCTGCAGCTCCTTGGAGAGCCCAGACCTGGCTGACCCATTTTAAAATCACCACCAATGGCCAGTCATGCTGAAACACTGCAGTATGATCTGCACAGAATTCCTGTCCATCCACAGGTCCGTTCTATGTGAACTGATCCACATACAGCAGTTCAGCCATACCTCACTCCAGTTCCTGTGTGTCATCAGCTGTCCACCTTTCAGGTGACACAGCTACGTTGGCACTGTGCAGAAAGAAACATGCCAACACCTTTTATAGACTTCCTAGAGCCTTCAACCCCACAGATCCCCAGTCCTTATCCCTGAGCATCAAACAGTGATGCTGACTGGCTGTCAGCCCTGAGGCCACGGCACACACATCTCCGACTCAGTACCCTAGGGCCCAGACAGCTGCTTGCCAAGGTCATCACCCTGAGAAAGATGTCAGTCCATTTAAATGTCTTCGTATATTGTCTGGGCTTAAATTCTCAATACACTTGATCTTGTAGTCTTTACATTTACAGGAAAACTAAGAGGTAGCACAGAACCCCTGTCCTGGAAGCTATGTTGCTCATCTTACCCAGATACATGCAGAAGCTACACTGATCAGAGGGACCAACCGAGCCACACACTCCTCATTTTCCCACTGTTGCCTCTCCCCCAGGGTGCCATTCAGGCCCTACAGGTCCTGCAGGCCAGCTAAGCTCTGTGCTAGGGAACCACTAGTTGCCCTTTCCATCTGTACTGTCTAAAAGAATGTGGCAGGAATGGCAGGTGGGAGGTAAGCAGGTACACGGGGACATTATCCTTTGAGACCAAGTGTTGGTCTCAGGGTATTTTTGTGTCAAGTTGTAATGAAAATAGCAAGTCAGAGTCTCTGGCCTCTAGGCTCTCTAAGCTTCCCCTCTCACATACGCTCCACCACTGTGATACCATCTGCCATGAGCCATCTATGTCCAATCCTAGATTTGCAACCCCAAGCTCATTTTATAGCCAAGTGTGTCCTCATAGTCTGGGGGGCCTGAAACAAATAATCTCTTTTAAGTCCTCATCCTGTAGTATCTTATTACACTCTCAGAAATAGGGGCCACTATGCGTACCACAGGATGCTGGGCTTGCTCCTCTAAATGAGACTTGATATGGACCAGTGTGCTGAACTCTGCTGAAAATAAAGCACGAGAACACTACCTATAGGTACAGTGACTGCAAAGGTCCAGTAATATACTCCACCTGCAGCAATCAGAGCAGACCCAAGGGAGCCAGGGCATGAAAGGAGAGGTGGGCAAACACTAAGGGTTGAAAGGTTTAAGTGTGGCCGCAGGAGGAACAGGGAAAGGAAGTGATAAATGTGGTTCACCCAAAAATCAGGGTGTGTGAAAACCTTTACAGAGACAAATTACTTTTTAACTAAATTTTAAAAATATAATTTAAAAAATAAAGGAGTTTGGCTGGGCATGGTGGCACACACCTTTAATCCTAGCACTTGGGAGGCAGAAGCAGGCAGATCTCTGAGTTTGAGGCGAACTTGCTCTACAGAGTGAGTTCTAGGACAGCCAGGGCTGTTACACAGAGCTTTTAAATACAGAATTTTGAACACATAACTTTTGGTACACAATAAACATAAACAAAACAAATAAGTAGATGAAAGAAGTTTGAACACAGGTGCCCTATATGTGTGGACAGTGACTGCCCCAGAAGATACAGGTTTTTAAATAAAAATCTGAACCAGGTATATGATACCTTAGTATGCGTTATTGATCAAGTGTGTCCCAGAAACAGCCAAAACAACACAAGAAATTACCATTGCTCTTGGCTGTCCACCAGACCTAGATGGTGAAACTCTTCTGCTAATACCACTACATGCTTTGCTTGGAAGACAATAAGCATAGAACTGACCTGAAAATTTCTCTGAATGGCTAGCTTTCACAGTTTCTGAAGATACAATGCAGGTCACCAGGAGAGAAAAGTCATCAACAGTATTATAGCAAGAGGCAAACCCTGAACTCCAGACACGATGTGTTCATTGGTTATAGAGACAAGCAACCACTGACTGGATCTGAAGCTTGCTCCATAGGAGGCAATTCATGCCTGTTACTGTAAACTTGGTCAAAGTCCCACAGCTCAGGTCATAGGCCCTAGGTAGAAACCTACTCCTGTTGTTCTGTTAAACAGATACACTGCCAATCTGTTTTCCAAACATTTATGTTTCTACCCACAGGTCAGTGCTGCCCTCTACCTCGATCAGAGAAGTATCTCTCTGCAGCAGGCAGCAGTAAACACAGAGAGACTCATAACTGATGGAAGGGCAGAAAATAAGTGGCTGTTGAGTGCTCTGCCCTACACGGGACGTTGGGATCAACCCCCACCTCCTAAGGCTCAGGGAACGTCACTGAAGAGGGGACAGAGAGAATATAGGAACTGCAGGATGGGGCGGAGTGTGAAAGGCTGTCTTTAGGACATGACACAGGTGTTACACTTATGAAACAGCAGCTGTGATCACATGCACAGGGCCTGCGTAAGATCAAGCCAATGAGATTTATTACCATTCTGGCAGGCTGTGTTAACTGGCTTCAGTGGGTTACAAAACAGTGCATTAAGGTGGGCATCGCATGCTGGGCGATGTCTGGTAGAATGGGATGGGGACTGGAAGAGCTGGGTTTAATCTCTAAACATGTATGGAATTGTCAAAAAAAAAAAACAAATAAAATGTATTCTTAGAAAGAAAGAAAGAAAGAAAGAAAGAAAGAAAGAAAGAAAGAAAGAAAGAAAGAAAGGAAGGAAGGAAGAAATGAACTGGAAGTTGTAGAATACAGAGCTAGCTAATAAGGCAGAAAGGACTATGTGGGGCCTGGCAGAAAGAATGACCACACTACATGATTGCCACAGCTGGGTGGACTCACTACACTTTGAGTAATCCATGTAACGGTCAACACTGACTCCCCACACTCGAGCACACACACAAACTCACACTCGGATGACCCTGTACCTTTTGTTGAACTACACAAAAGATAACTGACAGACAGGGACACAGATGTGTTAACACATGTGATCAGACAAGTATGCTAAAACAGGAAAGGCAGAATTTCTGAGGCATGCAGGTGCTCACTAAAAAAATCAAGTTAACTATGTGTTTGAGAATTTTTGAAATACAAAGGATTTTTAAAGGAAAAATACAAGATAGTTTTTTTGGGGGTGTTTCTTTTTTTTTGTTTGTTTGTTTTTTGTTTTAATGGCAATGTACCAATGAGGAGCAGGGAAAGTAGGTGACCAGCACCTGCAGATACACCCATTCCATAAGCTGGCAAGAGACTCCTTAGCACTGGCTTGGGAACATGGCTGTAACACTGTAGGCAGACACAGGGAGAGGAGACACTATGCAGAGTTGTTATAGTGACTACAGTGTAAACACACTGTTCACATGACAGTGCTCTTGGGAGGTTGGCATGACACAACCTAAGTTTGAATCCCCAGCATACATACACACAAAAGCTGGGCTTGGTGGCCACTATCTATAATCCTAGTACTGGGAGATAAGAGAGGCACAACCAACTGGCCAGCTCCATGTTAAATGTGAAGCCTGTCTTAAAACAACCAAGTGGAGAGCAACTGAGAAAGATGTCTGATGTTAACCTATGGCCTACACACACACACACACACACACACAACTATATACACCCACAAATACATGCACACACCCACCCCTGCATGTTTAAAGAGGAGCAGAGCCATGCCACTACAGCTTACAGCTCAGGATAAGCCTGCTCACAGCTCACTGGACGCTCCTCTTAATTCTAAACACAGGCAGCCCTTACCTGCTTTGAGTAACCCCCATAGATGGCAATGCTGCCCTGGGGGGTGACAGCCATCAGGCAGCCTGACCTGGGTGTGGGCCCAGAGCCAGAAGGGGACAGCTTGGTCCACAGGAAGGTATCAAGGCTGAAGGTATACACATCACTGTAGTAGATATAGTCCCTAGTGGGAGAAAAGGACATACATAGGTCACCATAGAGGTAACAGGTGAAGGCAGGGTCATCAGAGTGTACCAATTATACTGAAGGCAAACTTGTGTTTCACCTAGTCATATGCTTCAAGTCTAAATCCAAATGAAAGGCTGTGGATCCTGAGTGTACAAAAAAATCAGAAACAACTCCCATAATCACAGGATAGTTTATTTACTATGAAAGTTGTCCATTTCCTACCCAAGTGACAACCGCAATCTTCATCAGGCACATCTGGCTACTGTGTGACTGTAAGACCAACAATGAGTCTACCTGATCACAAGGCTGGATACGGACCACTTTGGTAAGAACTGTGGCAGGGATGGGCAGAGGCAGAGCACCCCACACAGTCAAAGGGTAGGAACAGAGTCTTGGCACCCAGCACCTATTAGGTGGGAGGGTCCAGCTAATGCTCATTCTGCTCAAAGCCAGGGACACAGACACCAAAGCACGCAGTACACAGAGGGGACTTAGAAACAAAATGGGAGGCTTGCTACCACGGGATGATTGTCACAGAACACACATTGCCCTCTAGCTGTTAAGAATAGCTAAACTGTCCACAAAGGAGAGGCATGTGGAGGCTGGGACAACCAGTGCGCCACACAGCGTATCTGAACTACCCAAGCCTGGAGCGCTAAAGCCACTGTGAGCCCTGAAGGCTGTCGTGGGAGAGCTGGCACAGGCAGGTTCTGCCCCCTCATATGCACAAGGTGGATGGCTGAAGCTACAGGGGCAAAGCTGGCCCAAGGCTGTCTGCTTCTTCTGCCCTGAAGAAATGCTAAGAAGTCATGGGAACTACTGGCTGCCCCTCAAACTCACAAAGCCCTCTTGAAGAGCACATGAAGGATGGGAGACTCCATGTTTCTAGAAGACTTACTATATAATCCAGTTTGCTCCAGTTTCAAACTCCACTTTCAGAGAAAAAGAAAAAAGTCTACTTTGAATTGAAAATAAATTAACAACTGTCTCAAGGAAAAGTCAGAATGGTGATATTTAAAAGTCAAGCTAATTTAATACAGATGGTGACAGCACTCACTGTAAGACTGTCATTTTGTCTATATACCTAAGTGCTTCCTAAATAGGTTTGTACTTAAAAAAAAGAGAGAGAGAGATTTATTTTCATTTATGTGTACATGTCTGTGAAGGCACACAGGGCTGTTAGATACCCTGGAGGTGAAGTTACAGACAGTTCTAAGTTACAGATATGAGTTCTGGAAGCTGAACTTAGGTCCTCTAGAGGAACAGCAAGTGCTCTTACCTAGTGAGCCAGTTCTCCAGACCCCTAAAGAGTCTTAAATAAAATAACTAAGTTTTGAAAAGAGTTCTAATTTTAAAATGACTACCTCCCCCAAATCACCGTGAGATGGTGATCAGCAATCTACAGGTCGGTTAAGAGGGAAGAACTCTGCTGGTTTCACACCCAGACAGTCCTGCACACAGTAGGTGCTGACTTAATCAAGTACAAACCCATGATTTCCTCACTACAGTGGTTGTCCCACACTGTAGCTGCCAAGCTGTGTACCCAGGAAGTTAGTGAGCAAACAGTGTTTCTACAAAGATCAGAGGCCCCATGCAGCCTCCACCCTGTGCTCCAAAAGAGGCCCAATCTGCTTTTGAGTACCAACCTTGTGCTTTCATGGAAGCCACCAAAAAGAATTAACTGTCGCTTCCAGGCCACCATCCGATGTCCACTACGACCTGAAGGGCCCCCTGTTGATCTAAAATGAAAAGGAGGGGAGAAAAAAAAAAAAACACTATTAAATTAGATATTTTTTTTAAGGTTTGTCCATTGGTTTCTTTTTTAAAAAATATTATTTATTTGTATTTTATGTGTGTGGGTATTTAGTTCACATGTACATTTGTGTACTATGTGGACACACTCAAGAGAACATCAGATCTGGAACTGGAAGTTACAGCGAGTGCAAGCTGCCACGTGGATGCTGGGAATTGAACCCTGATGCTCTGGAAGAGCAGTCAGCAATCTTGACTACTCTTTAGCTCTTGATTTCCATTTTCAATACACTTAGTAAAGTTCTCTTCATTTATCTATTCAAATTACCAGAACCAGCCTGACCGCCCTGCCCAATTGCAAGCTTAAGTGGAAATTCCACTTTATTCTATCAGACAAAGTTGATTTTTTTTTTTTTTTATTCTATCAGACAAAGTTGATTTTTTTTTAAGACTCAGATTAAAATATTTCATGTCATAGAAAAATGTTCATAAGAATGGAAGACAACGGCAGGTTACAAAACACATTACATAAGATTCTAATCCGGGGTTCTGAACAGTTTTATTATTGTCTGTCTTCTACATTCCCCAAGCTTTCCCCAGCGAACACACATCACTCTGGTAAGCAGAAAGGGAAGACAGAGAGAAGTGTAGGAAAGGAGGGAGGCAGGAAGGAGCACCTGTCACTGTAAAAAAAAAAAAAAAGCTGCTGGCTGCCAAAGGCCACAGCACAGATAGCAAGGTTCACTGCATCCTGCTGTTGAAGACACTCAAGGGTTAAGAGCCTCTCTTCCTACTTAGGAGTCAATGCCCTAGCCCCTCAGTGCAGTATTCTCACCAGGCCCTCCCACAGCTCCTAAGTGGAATGCAGGAAAGATAGGTTGCCAAGGGTGGTTACATAGGGTTTTATGTAAAAATCCCACAAAGTGGGGGTTGGCTCAATGGAGAGATGGCTCACAAGTTAAAAGCACTTTTTGCTCTTCTAGAAGGTCAGAGTTTAGTTTCCAGCACCCACACTGGGTGGCTCACAGCAATCTGTAACTCCAGCCACCTGAGGATCCCACTTCTGCACTGGACTCCGCATTCCTACTCCCCACACACAACAAATAAAACTTTAAGTGGCACATGCCTTTAATACCAGCACTCAGGAAGCAGAGAAAGGTGTATCTCTGTGAGTTCAAGACCAGCCTGGTCTACAGAGTGAGTTCCAGGCCAACCAGGACTACACAAAGAAACTCAATTTCAGAAAAAATTAAAACAAAAACACACACACACACACACACACACACACACACACACACACACACACACACACACACAGCGCAACATTCCTAACAAATGCATCCACACAGAAGCTCAACATTGAAAGGGTTCTGCCCCGAAGCCACCCTTCACACGCATTCAGACGCATCTGAGGGCTTCCCTGGCTCAATCCAGAATGAAGACTGTTCTCAAATGCTCCACTATACCCCTCACATTACAACATCCCTGTTTAAGTCACTCAGGATGGCCAGCACACTTGTCTATAGAAAGTCAACCAAAAGCGATTAATACCTTCTCCTAGACACCATGTTCTAGAGAACATCCTTCAGGCACCCTTTTGGGTAGTCTCATACCCGTACACCTGCTACTCTACCAGGAAGGGCAGCTTTAGAGCCAAGCCTCCTTCACCCTTAGTTACAATCCTGTACAGAAAACCTCATTAGACTGGGGAATACATAATTTGTCAACCAATTTACTTGCCTTCTCCTAGCTCTGTTTTACTTGTAATTTACTAAGAATGTTCTAGTGCCAAAATTCGTGATTAAAAACAGCAACCATCAGTTTCCAGGTTCAAAAGAGTCAGTCTGGGGCACAACATCCTACAGCACACAGGCTTCTTGAGACCAGGAAGCCCATACTTGAATGTGCACATGGAAGGGCCTTCTTTGGGAAGAGACGACATCCCGCATGATCTGCACAGGCACAAGGACAAGAATGAAGCTGACTTGCTCTGGCCAGAAGCTGCTCCCTGAGAGCTCCAAACACACTGCTATGTGAGAGTTCAGAGAGGGCGCTCACTGCACAACTGAAGCAGCACACTGACACCCTCAATTCTACTACAGCACAGATACACAAGACACCGGGCACTCCGAGGGCCACCCGATGACACAAGTCACGACCACTGGCAAGCTGCCTATTTATGACCCCAGATCCATGGAGGCTTAGGCCAGCCTTCCAAAAACTTCCTGAACAGGAGCCCCACCAGGTCATTCTCTAGCTGAGTCAGATGCCAAGCACACAACTCATTTGTGGTAGCACCAGTGAAATACCACTATTCTGTAACTAAAAATGAAAGGAGGGGGCTATAAAAAGCTTTCACGTTCCCCTCTAGAAAAATAAAGCCACCCTCCCAACAGCCCATTTATATTCGAATCTCCAATAGGCTTTTCAATTGCCGTCAATCCTAAATATGGAGTTTTAAAAAAAGTTAGCCTGCCCCACTCATCCAGAATCCTATGTATAGCACAAAGACACACACGCAATGGTGTGGGCGCCAGGCTCTTCACTCTTCTGGGCTGTGCACAGAATGGCATCCCCATAGGGCATGCTGCCAGCCAGCATCACCAACTCCACCACCCGGCTGCTGGGAGATAGTCATAGAGAATGTCCATGCATCAAACACCAGTGCAGGCTTAGAGAGTGAACAGCCAAGCACTCAACACTAGTGCTCTCAGTTATGCTCATGTTTATACTTACAACATAATACCGTACCCACTGTCCAAGGCTATGCCATGCTTAGCAAAGGACTGGAATTCTGAGTTCAAGGTCACAGGGGACATCACAGAACAGAAACACTCCCTGTTCCCATGGTATGGTCACAGCATAGCCTGAATGGAGCCACTATGTACAGCATGTGCTGCCTTTCACAGAGCCTTCAGCCACCCATGCAGATGCCTTGGCATACTTAGCTGTCAGCCCCAAGGAAACCAGACTCAGGTTAGAAGCCAACCTCAAACATACCAGATCACCCTCTTAGCTTTCCTACAAATCAGTCACACTTTATCAACATGGCCCTTGCTTGTTCCTAGTACTCTCTGGAACAGCACAGGTTCACACCTGAACCCTCTTTGGACCCTTTGTCAGGACCACTCTTCTGGAAAACCTTACAGTGCTAAGAGCCAAGAGGTAAGTCTTCAGACATGAAGCCCACCTGGCCAGAGTGAAGAGGGTCAAAGGGCTTCCATTCCTGAGAACAGGGTCTTCAGACCCAAGCTATAACAAAGGACAACTTCTTGGAGATACAACTGGTGTAACACTCCTGAAGGAACACTAGTAAGTGCAAGCCAGACAAACATCCAGCCTGCTGCTGCCCGCTATTTACTGTGAAAAGAAACAGATTTCTCAAGAAAAGTCATGCAACACCACGACTCTGAGACTTGCCATCATCATTGAAGTGCATGATTTCAGCCAGCTCCTCCTTCACATAGGCCTAAGCACACTTCCTCTCTAGACAACAAGTAAGCCCTCCTCAATCAGGAGAGACAAACCACACACAGACCACACATACTTTTACACTTCTAACCAATTTTCTTATTACTGAAAGCATTAATGCATATGAAAATGTAGAAATAACCCAAGCACCCCTCAACAGATGAATGGATCAGTGGTCTGTGGGATAAACCACTGGCCCACACTCCAGCATGGTGAACTTGAAAATATGGCCAGACACTGAAGGCCACAATATTTCAGGATTCCATTTACAGCCAGAAGAGGCAAGCTCAAAGACAAAGTAGGGACTGGGTAACTGAGGAATAGAGTAGCTTCTTTTTTAGAAGGTTAGAAATCCTTTAGACTGAGACAGCAGTATTGCCTGCACAACTGAACATGCCATGTAAACACACTTCATGTATGTGGTGTTACAGTGTGCTCACATGGACCAATGATGGCATCTTCCTCAATCTCTCCATATATCTACTTACAGTCTCCCACTGAAACAGGACTCACTATTTCAGCTGGTCTTGCTTGATGGCAAGCCCCTGGAACTCTCATCTCCTCCACATACTCCTTCCAGTGTACAGGCTAAAGTGTGTGCCTGGCTTTTATATGAGTGATGAGATCTGCACTCAGATCCTCATGCTTGGGTGATGTGAAGGCTATTCTTGCTTGTCAACTTGACTACATCTGGAATTAACTAAAACCCAAGCTGTGAGGGATTTTTCTTAATTGGCCATTTGAGATGGGAAGATCCACCCAAAATTTGGGTCACACGTTCTGATGGCAACCTAGATAAAAGGACATGAAGAAGGGAGCTTTTACTCTCTGCCTAGTCACTTCACTCTCACTGGCAAGTTCGTTCCTTTGTTGGTATCAGAGTCTGCTTCTCAGGGTTCTGACATATACTGAAGACCATCTGAGACATACTGACTTGTAGACCAAACAACTATTAGATTCTTAGACTTTCCATCAGGAAAGAGCCATTGTTGGAATAGTCAGACCACAGACTAAGCCTGTTTTTATATACAGATTCATCTATCAGCTGTTTTTCTAGAGAACCCTAACATAGGCATAAAACACTTTACCTACTAACCCCATGAATTTTGTAATGTTTAAAGGGTGATTATAGCTTATATAAATCATTCTGCAATAAAAGTTACCATAAAGCTACACCAGGCAGTGGTGGCACAGGCCTTTAATTCCAGCACTCTGGAAGCAGAGGCAGGTGGATCTCTTCAAGTTCAAGACTAGCCTGATCTACAAAGTGGGACAGCTAGGGCTGTTACATCAAGAAACCATGTCTCTGAACTCCCCTCCACTCCTCCAAAAAGAGCCTATTGCAGTGTGCATTAAGGCTCATATTTGCAATATCACCATCAGGAAGGAGGTTGAGGCATGAGGACTGCTCTGAGTTCAGGGCCAACCTGGCCTAGAGAGTGAAATTCTATCTCAGAAAAAACAAACAAACAAAGAAAAACAGATTAAAATAAGCAACAACATGCAGTGAGATATTCAACTTTGTCCGTACCTGTAGCATTGACCACGCCCATTGGGGGTGGGGACAGGGGCAGATGTTACCTGGGGGGGGGGGAACTAGGTCTGGGGAAGGGGCCCCCTCCAGAGCGCTCTCCTGCTTGATCTTTGCTTGCAGCACAGGGACAGAAGAGCATCCGGAGGCATCCCTGGGACCAGGAATCTGCTGGTGTTCATCTGTCTGTGTTGTAAGTTATTTCTCCCTGAATAAACATCTATCCAGCCTATTTGTTTTTCCTGATCCTTATTAAACCACAATAGCAACAAACTATCAAGAGCACTGTATGCTGGCAAGGTCTCAGCCCTCCCCAAGCAATACACATACCCAACAAGGAACATGGTTTCTTGCTGTCCTGGCAGGCTCTGACTCTCCCATAGGTGTCTCAACCTTATTTTCTGATTAGACTCCACACACAGGGAAAGATGTCAACCAGCACCAGGTACCAGTCTTTTGTGTGTGTGTGTGTGTGTGTGTGTGTGTGTGTGTGTGTGTGAGAGAGAGAGAGAGAGAGAGAGAGAGAGAGAGAGAGAGAGAGAGAGAGAGAACGTCATTTGCTGGTAAAACAGAAGGGAGGAAGCCACTCTCCCAGCCCTCCCCATATCCCTCTCCTCCAGGGGAGTTCAGTCCTGCCTTGGTGCCTGCCTACCTTTCTCAGGATTCACATAAGTGCACACAGGTCAGAGAAAATCAGAATCTACATTGCCAAATCAAGATCAGGCCAGTTCTATGTACATCAGGCACTCTGATGCACCTCTCACTCCAGACAGAGCCTGAGTGATCTCCAAACATCCTTAGAACTGGTGTGTCCTCAGTACCTAACAATGGAGCTTATCTTCCTGACAGACAGCAATGCTATCTCTCTTCTAACTTCAATTGCTATGACATAACATATGTCTGCTGACTGTCAACATGTACAGAAACATGCCCTAATGTAGGAAAGCAAACTAGAGACACTACACTGCCCTGATGCAGCAATAGGTCTCTCTGAGCTGCTGGATAGTGCCAATTAGCACTGGAGGTAGGAATACACTTGCCAGCCAAGATAGAGATAAAGAGGTACAGACATATGGCTTAACAGTAGTAGCCAAATATCTGCCTGGTTCTGCCTCCCAAGTGCTAAGATTAATGCTGTGCACCACCACTACCCAGCACAATTTTCTTACATTTTTATTTATTTTATTTTACAAGTGTATGCACATAGCACAGCACATACGTGGGAGTCAGAGGACAGCCTGAGGAAGTCAGCTCTTTCCTTCCACTGTGTAGGTCCCAGGGATTGAACTCTGGGCAACTCTGTCTGCTGAGTATCTTGACCCTGCCCCCTTTCTTTGGCATTTTTTTTTTTATATACACTTTTTGTTTGTTTGTTTGTTTTTTGAGACAGGGTTTCTCTGTGACAAACTCACTCTGTAGACCATACTGACCTTGAACTCAGAGATCTGCTTGCCTGACTCCCATGAGATTAAAGGTGTGTACAATCACCACTGGCTTATGGATACTTTTATATGAAATCTTACGAACTTGTACAGATTCCTAACATAAATAAACAAGTAAATAACAAGCTAAGCATAGCAGCATGTGCCCAAATCTCAGCCCTTTTGGGAAATGGAAACAGGATCATTTCAAGATTAGCTACACAGTGAAATTCCAAGCCAGTGAGAAAGAGAACTTGCTGTGCAAGCACAAAGACCAGCATTTAACCCTCTAGCACCCATGTAAAAGATAGAGTGGCCACATAGGTTCGTAATCCCAAGTTGTGGGAGGTGGAAGCAGGAGGATGGCCGGGAAATGTTGGCAGACAGCTTAGCTCCAAGTTCAGTGAGAGACCCTGCCTCAAAAGAACTAAGGTGAAAGAGAATAGTGCAGGACACTCAACAAACTCTTCTGGCATGCACACATGCATACCCCAAACCCCGACGTATTAAACACACCCAGATCAGAGGCTAATCTCAGATCCATCTCATATTCAAATGGAGGATTCCATCTGAACTGACTAATATCTTGGTGGAAAGCACAGAACTTTGCTCTCCCTGAACTGCTGGGTGCTTCCTTACATACTTCCAACCCAACACCAAGGCAAGTACCCCCTGGATAACTGTCATCCTAGCCTGGGTGCCTTCCACTCCTGTTGGACAAATCCTCCACGCTTCTGGATGGCTCATTCCAAGCACCCGCAAGGCCAGAATCACAAACACAGACTCTGCACTGTGACTGGCTTCCAGATCTTTCTATCAAGTCAGACAAGAAAACTGCTCACTCAGTAAGACTGCCACAGCTGTGGTGTCTGTCAGGGGGTAGCCAGGAAAATGGAAAAGCCCCAAAGCAGTCCTGGTGACCCATGACTTTAATCCCGGTACTTGTGAGGTAGAGGCAGGGTTAGTGAGTACGGTCAGCCTGGTCTACAAAGAGAGTTCCAGTCTAGCCAGAGCTGCAGTGAGATCCTTCAGGAAAGGGAAAGAGATAGGGAAGAAAAGCACTGAAACACCCCAAACCAAAAGGATCAGGAATCAGGCCCCTCAGGAGCTGGGGCCTGCACCTGAGTGGAAGCATGGGTACTTCCCTAAGGTCCTCAGACATGTTCTTTTGCATTTAATCAAGGGCCTTAAACACGAGTCATGCTCAAATCAACACAAGGAATGTGAACATCACAGACCCCTGACAGTGACACTGATTAGAGACAGAAAGCAACTATTAGGCATGTGAACAGCAGTGTACGCTGTATAGTGTTCACTCCTGACTTCCAACCCTGACCTAGCTCAGCTCCAGGAACAGATCTGACTGACAAGTCAAGGAACTGAAGGAAAGGCAGACACAGACAAACACAAAAGCTGGGGTTAAGTGGACTGAGGTTTCTGATGGGGAAACCACAGCACCTGGAAGCTCAGAGTGCTTATTATATAGATTTGAACAGGAAGACAGGGCTATTGCACACAGCTGAACAAGCAGGTGGGGTTATTACATACAGATAAGCAAGTAGGTGGGTTTTGTGGTATACAACTGGATCAAGGAGAATGGTTTAGCTAATCTCAGGAACAAGGCATTGTCTTGTGAATATCTGGGGGAAGAAAGCTATGGTGGGCATTTCTCCACACATTATCAACATCCACATATGGATCAGAGGAAGAAATTACTACGCTTCTCTGAGCCTCACCTCAGGGGTGTGGGGGAGGGGCTTTCCATTCTTCCATGGGTCAAAGGCTTGACTTGACTGTGCCCATATCAACAAGCACATTTTTTTTGGGGGGGGGGGGATTGGTTTTTCCAGACAAGGTTTCTCTGTATTGCTTTGGAGCCTGTCCCAGCACTCGGCTATATAGACCAGGCTGGCCATGAACTCACAGAGATCTGCCTGCCTCTGCTTCTTGAGTGCAGAGATTAAAGGCATGCACCACCACCACCGCCTGGCAACAACTCACATTTCACTTAGGCACTCAGGACTTTGGGCTTCCTAAAGGGGCCGAGAATGACTGTGAAACACCCATTACACCTAATTATGAGGAAAATTTCTCAAAGCACATTCCCTGGATCTGTATCAGCACAACATTCCCTGATAATTCCAGAAGCCATGCTGTCAGCAGAGGACTTGGGGGGGGGGGGCGTGGACTGAGGCAGTAAAGCACATAAATAATCACCTTTCTACTTGTATGAGTCTGTAGCTAAAACTGAGGGGTTAAAAATGGCAACTAAGCCATGGGTGTCAGAATTCAGGAGGTGGAGGCAAGAAGATCAGGAGTTAAAGGCCCCTGAACATTCTCTCCAATGACAGCCACACCCCTTCCAGTGAAAGTCCTGGGACCAGGAGACTCTGGCCCCTGCCTAATTCTGGTTAACTGCTTTATTAGCAAAGAGGACAGTATCCTTACACTGTGTCATGCACATCCCTGGCATTAGGGCTTGGCAACACCATTTTGGCAAGCTCCTCTCTGCAGCAATTCTTTCAGATATATACAGTATGACAGACACACAACAGAGGCTCCCAGCAGAGAGAATCAGGCACCAGTACAGCAAGTGTCTGGGACCCATGAAGGTCTCTCCTTCCTCTGACCAGCTCTGCTATTTTCTACATCGGCATAACACAGGGCCATCTCCTGGTCTTAGCATGAACCCACACTGGAGGAGCTGCATGGAAAGGGTGACTCAGGCCTGACACACTGCTCGATGCTCACCACCTCAAACAATGCCTCCAGCAAAGCCCTTGCCCCACCATACAGGAAAGTACCCTGTACCCTCCCTGCCCCACTCATAACTCAAACCCAATCAAGAACCAAAGCTGAGGCCAGGGCTCAGGCTCCCATCCAGAATCTTACCGAATCTGTTCCCAGGTCTTGGTGGCCAAGTGCAGGACCCAGAGGTCCTTGTAATGGTAGAACTGCTCACCATCAGGAGATGCAAACTCTCCACCAAAGACCCACAGCTGTCCACCACCCTGGGGCACTACCACAGCCTGTTAAAAGAAAGCAAACAGATTAGGTGGGCCACGAGACAGCACAGCTGGCCCTAGCATGACAGCAGCATCAGCATCATCCACCCAGAATCTCAGGGACTCCCTTAGCCATTGCCTCCTGCTTCCAACAGGAAGCTTCTAGAACAAACTTCCCTAGGCATATTAATTATACTCAAAGTCCTAACACGTCCATGTTTCCCTAGACTGCAAGACAGACATCTACTTACATTCAGACAACATACTGTCCTATTAAGTGAGCAGTTACTATAACTTCATATAGGTTTTCAAAGAGCAAATATCATTTCTATTTTATTAAATCATTATAATGAAGCACTTCAGTGCTGTTTATTGTTAGTCATGTGTATGTGAGGTATATGTATGTACTTGTGAGAGTGTGGGGTATAAACATGTGTGAGTTGTATGCACATTAGTATGTAAAGCATATACACTGTGTGATGAATATTCACAGGGATGTAAGGTGTATGCATATGTATCTGTGAGGCATTTGCATGTGTGTGGATGTGAAATATACACCTATGTGAGGCATATGCACATGTATATATGAGATGCATGCATGTGTATATGAGTGCACATCATGTGTATGAGTGTATTGAGATTGTATACAGATGTATATGAGGTGTGTATGTAAGACAAGCACATGTGTGGATGTGAGGAGTATTTACATCACATATGTATGTGTATAAGGTATATGCATATGTGTGAATGCAAGCTATGTGGATATGTATGTGAGTTATATGCAACTGTGTGAAGGATATACACAAAGGTATATGTAAGGTGTATGCACGTGTATATGAATGTGCAAGATGTATGCACAGGTGTATGAGGGTATGAGGTTTTATACACATGGGGGGGGGGTTGTACTTGCCTGTGTGTGGGTGCAGAGGTAGAAGGAAGATGCTGAGTGTCCTGTCTATGGCTCTCTACCTTAGTCTCCTTAAGACAGGGTCTTTTGCTGGGAGTTGGTGGCACATACCTTTAGTCCCAGCACTCGGGAGGCAGAGGCCTGCAGATCCCTGTGAGTTCGAGGCCAGCCTGGTCTACAGAGCTAGTTCTAAGACAGGCTCCAAAACAATACAGAGAGAGAAACCCTGTCTCAAAAAAAATAAATAAAAAAGCAGGGTCTTTCACTGAACCTGGAGCTCAGCTTGTGTAGCAAGCTCCTGTGATCCTCTCGTCTCTGCCCCTGACAACACTGGAGTTACAAGTACATATGCAACCACACCCATATTTTTATATAGATGCTGGGATCCTAATTCAGGTCTTCATGCTTGTGCAATAAGAGAGCATTCTTACCCTCAGAGCCCAGTCTGTTTCAGTCCACTCAACCCATTCCTAGGCTCTACCACACATCTAAAAGTACTTCACAAAAAAGCAATCACATGACATGAATTATCTAGTGTTTATTTTTAAAAATCTAAAGGTAAGGGTTGCTGTTTGTCTACAAAACTCACTTTTAAAAAAATAAAAATAAAGCTTCCTGTAGCCCAGGCTGGCTTCAAACTCATTATGTATCCAAGGATGGCCTTGAGCTTCTGATCCAACCTCCACCTCCTGAATGCTGGGATGGCAGACATGCACACCTGTCCACCACACCCTATACAGCACTAAGATGCTGGTACATTGATGCTAGGCTTCCTGCCTCCAAACCTATGAAGAATAAACTACTCTAACATGGTACTGTGTTATCTACAGCAGCACAAATACAGTAAATATACAAATACACTGACAAAAGCAGTGCAGGTAGGGCCTGCAGGTTCCCTCCACAGGAAGTTTACTGTTCCAACCAGTCCAGCCCGAAGACCCATGGAGAGCAGAGCAATGCCACACAAGCACCTCAGCCCCAAAGTATCAAAGCTGAAGCTTCCACCATGGTTCACAACAGCTTGCCAACCAAAAGGAAAAAAGCATGGACCACAGCACCAAGGCCATGGGATGAGCTCTCCTAGAGACTCTGGGTGCACAGCCCCTGGGACTGTGGTAGTATTTGTGCAAAGAATGGACCCACCTATTGCCAGGCAGTGCTGTATACCTTAATTCCAGTACTTGGGAAACAGAGGCAGGCTGATCTATGAGTTCAAGAGCTAAGGCTACACAATGAGACCCTGTCTCAAAAAGAAAAGAACCAACCTGCCAGCTACTTAGTGCCAGGCTCTTTTTCAGGCCTGCAATCTGAGAAGCAAGCTAAGCAGGGCAGGCCATGGGACTCTTGCCAAAACCAGAACAAGACCAAGGCTCACATATGCAGGAATGCACTGTCAGGCCCAGTTCTGCCTCCCTAAGGCACAAACAAAAGAGAGAGAGCAGCAGACAGCCCGTGAGGTTTCTTATTACCTTCTGTACAAACCATTGCAGATGCATGTACTTGGAAGGTTTTACAATCAGTAACTGCAATTGGCTTCCAGGGAGTAGGGACAGACACATTTCTTTGGAAACCAGTTTCTCCTGTAAGCACCCCTCCATTGTAGGCCCCATGCTCAAACAAAGTCCTCCTCAACTCAGAACTCTGAGGAATGTGAAACACATGTGGGTGCTGGGAACCAAACCCATGTCCTCTGTAAGGATGGCTAGTGCTCTTAACCACAGAGCCATCCCTCTAGCCCCACAGCATGATTCTTAAGGAAGGTACATTAAATAGCCCCTAAGGAGGCTGGGCAGGGAGTTAGGATCTAACACAGAAGCCTAAGTCCCAAGAAGGGAGGTGGGCTATCTTAAGCACAGGCAGTGAACTCCAGAACACAGGTCATCAAGGATACAACAGTGAGTTCATAGAAGACCTGAATGCTAGTCAGGCAATGCAGCTGGAGGACACAGTCTTTTCTCCATGGGATCACATGGGTCCACAAGGTAATTCTCAACAGTCTGAATCATGAAAGCTTCCTTGCAACAGAATAAAACTTGAGCAACAAAAAGGTATCTGAAAACAATTCCAAAGTATTTGCAGATTAAATGACTGCTAAATTCTATAGCTCATAGGTCAAATAACAAATCCAAGTACATCAGAATGATCTAGGTTCATTCACTCCGACCACATGAAACCACAAAGCACCAAGTGTATATAAGACAGAGCTGTAGCCACTTCTAGAAGGGAGTTGCAGCTTAAATGCTTCTAGCAGCCAGGCGGTAGCAGTAGTGCATGCCTTTAATCCCAGCACTTGGGAAGCAGAGAACAGGGAAGTAGAGTTCGGGACCAGCCTAGTATATAGAGCAAGTTCCAGGACAGGCTCCAAAGCTACAAAGAAACCCTGTCTCAAAAACCAAAACCAACCAAACAAACAAAAAATGTTTCTTTCTAGTAAGAAGAAATAAGAGGAGATAAGCTTCCACCAAAGGAGCTAGAAGAAGAAGAAAACCATCAAGTACTGAAATTATTGAAAAGGAAAAGCAGCTTTCTGTGAGATGGCACAGCAGGTAAATGTGCTTGCACCAAACCTGATGCCCTGAGTTCAATCTCAGGAAGCCACAGGCTGAAAGAACTCCCCAAAAGCTGTCCTCAGACCTCCAGATGTGTGTCATGATAAATACACACACACACACACACACACACACACACACACACACACACACACACACACCCCACAATAAATAATGCAAAAAAATGTTTTAAGTTAAAAAATACAAACACAAGACTGGAAATGGCTCAGTAAAGAGCACTGGCTTCTCTTCCAGAAGATGCAGGTTAATTCCTAGCACCCACACATTTCATAACTGTCTCTAACTCCAGTTTCAGGGGATCTGACATCCTCATACAGACATACAAATAGGCAAAATACTAATGCACATGAAATTTAAATAAAAAAATTTAAATACATATACAAATAGGAAAAAAAAACCTATGAACTATACATTTGAAAAAAAATATACAACAAAAACAACACAGGAACCCAAGGAACCAGTTTTCCACTTGGGATTTAATGCTGACATGTTTAACCCTGTGGGATTTCTCTACCGTTTTTCAGGAAGCTTTTGAAACTGCTGTTTCAAAACCATTCCTTAACAGCTTCAAACCAGATGCATCTTTCTTTTCTTTTCAGTGGGTCACACTATATAGCCCTAATTGGCTTGGAACTCACTATATAGATGAAGCTGGCCTCAAACTCACAAAGATACATCTGCTCAGGCCTCCTGAATACTGGGATTGAAGACATGCACCTAGCTAAGATTCATCTTTTGAAGATGTAAATATAAAAGAACTTGGTCACTTAGTGATCCTAGTTGCCCAGCACAAACAAAAACTCAAGAGTTAGCAAGAAAACTCAGCAGGCAAAAGTACTTAGTGCACACCTGAATGCCTGAGTTCCAGCCCAGAACACATAGCAGAAGGAGAGAACTGACTCCTGAGAGCTGTCTTCTGGTCTCCTGCAAGTGCCATGCCTTCACTTGGGCACACACATAAGGAAGCTGAGCTTACAGCCAAGGGGCACCATGAAACCAAACCCAGGGGTGTGTACTTTCCACTTGCCATATATACAAAACAGCACCCCGGACACTTAAATCATAATTGGCTAGAGAGATGATTCAGTTGGTAAAGTGCTTGCTGTGCAAACTTGAGGAACTGAGCTCAATCCCCTAGAACCCACATTTAAAAAATAAAGCAAGCTGGCCTGTGCTGGAGGCAGAGACCAGAGAATTCCTGGGGCTTGCTGGCTGCCCAGCCAAATCAGCAAGTCCCAGGTTCAGTAGGAAACCATCTCAATAAATTTATTAAGTAAGGATTAAGGAAGTCACCAGATGTCAAACTCTGTCCTCCACAGGCACACGTTTGCATCAGTAGCTCTCTACTGTTGGGATTAAAGGCATGCACCACTACACCAAGCTGCTGGTGAATGTAGTCTAAGCACCCTGACACAACTGATTTCTACAACAGCCTCCCAGGTTAGAACAACCTCCTGGAATCAGAGCACAGGCCAAAAAGCCATTGTGTACCTCAGGACAATCCCAACCACTCTCTCAAGAGACTAGGAGTCCTCAGACTGGAAGGGCTGAAAGCCACTTCCCTGCCATTGTTTGCCCCCTCTATCTGTAACTGAAAGACCTCAGGCAGCTTCACCTGTGCCCTCACTACTATACTTGGTTGGAAATGAACCAACCCCCTCTCCCAAAAAACAACCTTGAAAACACACTGCACATATGCAGCAGTCCCCCTTTCCCCCCCAAAAAAACCCACACATACACACACAATGCAAACTGGTGGCAAACAACTTTCCGTCTAACAGAAGCAGACATGACCATGCGACCAGGTATAGGCTGGTGCACACCTACACATAAGGTATAGAGCAAGGATAGTGCTACCAGCCTGCCCCACCAGGATATGTGCTGACAGGTATTTGGGCTCACTTGTCACTGCACTGAAACACAGGAAAAAACCTTAAGTGTCAAAAAAACAAAACTAAGACCATTGGCACAAACAGCATGTGTCAGATTCTGTATCCCATTTCATCCCAACACCACCAAAACACAACACAACACAAGTTTCTGGTGTCATTCTCACCCTTCTGTTGAGGGAACCCAAGCCCTACCCAAGCCAGATACCCTCAGGACCAAACAATGCACAAAACAAAGAACTCTGCCAGAGGCCCAGTCTCACTGCTGCATCCCAGAACTCAGAGGGTACCAGACCCAGCAAGGGAGGCTCTAACCAGGACCCAGCTGTCAGTAAGGCAGGGCAGGAACATGGAGGCAGGAACTGAAGCAACGCCATGGAGGGGCACTGTTTACTGTGTTTTCTCTCCAAGACTTGCTCAGCTTGCTTTCTTTTATGACCCAGGACCACCTGCCCAGGATCAGAACAAGCCAGAGAGAGCTGGGCCCTCCCACATCCATCATTAATCAAGAAACTGCCCCACACAAGTGCCCACAAGACAATCTGATGGGGGCAATTCCTCAACTGAGGGCCCCTTTTTCCAGGTGACTCTAGCTTATGGCAAGTTGACAAAAATGAACCAACACAATGAAAAACGCTCCTGACTATTACTTTGGGGAAAAACTGCCAAGTGATCAGGCAGACACAGCCTTCTCCCCTTTCTTGACATCAAACCACAGTCAGCTGCCTGTAGCCTCCAGAGTCAACACAAAAGAGTTGTCCCCTGTGTCCACACCCATCCTTCTTCCAGGAAAGGAGAGCAAACTGTTCTGAGAAGGAACTGAGATGTTGGATGAGGAGGAGAGCTACACAGCAGAGCTCAAGGGACACCTGACACTGGGAACAGCTTTCCTAAGAGGCAGAGGAACTCTCACCTGCTCTCTTTGTATCTGCAAAAAAAAGTTAGCTATAAGCTTATAACTACAATTTATCCAAAATAATTCTATTCCCTCCACCATCTGACCCACTCCTGAACATTCCATCTTGCTGTGGTCAGCACCAGCCTAGCCCTGGGACACATAGGATGCTCTAACCCAATAGGTGCCACTTTATTTACACTGTTTTAACATGCAGGATGACATTCAATCACCACATTGTTTGGAGCAGGCGCTCGCTCCTTTCTCACAAGTGAAGAGACTAGTACAGTGAAACTCAGTAAGGTGTCCAAGGAAGATGGCAGAGCCCAGGCTAATGGCTCCAGTCTCTAAAGCAGGAGGATGCCATGAGTCTAAGACTAGCCTGAGCCACAGAATCTCAAAGACCCAGAAGGATGTAGCAGGTGGGAAGCAGGAGATGACCTGTCATCTGTAGATGACTCTCTGACAAGCAGTTCTAGCATTACCTGATGAGCACAGCGCCTTGGAGGTGGGCCAGGGATGTCAACTTTCGTCCAGGTATCCTTTCTGATACTGTAGATGTATAGTTCATTATACATGAAGGTCTGCAGGAGGGAAGTGGATCATAAAGGCCACAAATGACATGCAGACAGCAATGACAACAACAGCAGTGAGTATACTCCAGGAAGCTTATACACTAATCACACCAGTGCAGACAGGCCATGTGTAAGCCCCAAGATTGTCTGGGAGGTCATGACAGATGCTCCTGACTTGCCACAGGCTTAATTCTCAATGAACTTATTTATGAACAGGTATAAATACAAAATGGAAGATGCATTGTGTATGATTAACCCATCAAACCTCCCCCTCTCCTCCCAGCCCATCTTAAAGTGGGCTCAGAACACTAGCCTCAAAATGGCTGGGAGGAGTCTAACACGCCACCTCGTCATAAAACAGTGTTCTGACATGACAAACACAATGGCTGTAACAGTACCCTTTCACCACTCTAAACTAAAAGGTGACAAACAAAACCCTTACAAGTTAGGGACTACATGTCATTATGCCAATTGATTCCTCAGGCCCCAAGAGCCTCTGCTGCACTGCAAGATTCATCACTCTCTGAATTTAAGCCAGTTTTTAAGTGCATGAAGATACAGAGAGAGAGCTGGACAAGTGAAGTAAGACCTGGAGCTTTCACAGGCTATTGGAAGAGCCCACACGTGCAACTACTTTCCCTCCACACTCTAAATAAAACTCAGGGTTTTCTGGCCCCACAGTTCACTGTTCAAAACAATTCTGTGCACACATATGGCCCAGTGGAGCTCCACTGACTAGAAGAAACCAGGGTACCTGCAGCACTGAAGCCCCTGCTGCCAGTCCCTAAGGGATGCTGGTAACTGGCAATCACTACCCACATCAGGCCTGACACTTAGAATGGGGGGAGTACAAGAGGGAAGTGACAGGACAAAGGCACGTTTATATCACCAATTTAAATTTACTTCAAACGAGCACTGAAAAAATTGGGAGAAAAAGAAAAACATATATACTTTACTTTTTGGCCATTGAAATATTCACCTCCGAAAAGGATTAATTCATCTTTCTCTGGATGAGCAGACAGGGAAGCATTTAACCTACAAGACAAAGCCAGAGGAGCAACATCAGAGAACATGACACCAGTCTAAACACAGACTCCCCTTCCCTTCCTTGACCCCCACCCCCCAGAGGACAGGACCAAGGATCACCCTGCCACCTCCAGCATGTATGTACGTGTGTGTGTGTGTATGTGTGTGTGTATACATGTACACACACACAATTAAATCACAGTCAAAACTCTACCAAGTCCAAGGCTAGTGAGATGGTTCTGCAGATAAAGGCTCTTGAAGCTAAACCAGATGACCTGAGCTCCATTCCTGGTAACCCACATACCTACATGGTAGGGAAGAACTCTCACAAGCTGTCCTATCACTTCTACATGTGCACAGTGATGTATGTGTATGTATATACTTACACACAAATAAATAAAAATAACAAAAACAGCCAAGTTTGCTACTGAAGTATTTCAGTATGTGGCCCAATACCATCTACAGAAATCATCAACACTCCTACTTATTCCACAGAATAACAGAACAGCGGTGGGGAATACGTGTATATCTGACTATCAAAGTGGAAACTGGAGCAAATGTAGTGGCCATAGGAGCATCACTGCAGAAGCCCAGCTCTCAGATCCTGCAGTGATGTGCCCCAGCACAACACTCACTCTATAAGATGCTTCTCAGAAGAAAAAATGATTATTAAGGGCAAGTTGTGTCTGGGGAATTGGAACCCTCTTGGGGATTTACTGTGCACAGATCATTTCTCTGGTGGAGAAATTCTTCAGGGAAGAAACCAGCATTGAAAATGCAGCTGCACAGAAGCAGCTGACAGTTCCTCAAAAGGGAGATCCAGAACTAAAACATGTATCTGAAGTACCACGGACTCATCAAAGTACTGTTCACAACCACCAAGTGCAGAAGAACAATCATCCAGGATGCTACAGATGTGTGAACCAGCCAAGTGTGGCACAGAGCAGTATGTGGCCCAATCCTAGGAAGGAACGAATCACTATCCTGTACATGAGTCTCTGAGATACACTGAGTGAAAGAAACTTGTCTCCAAACACACATGCCACACTACTCTCTATATGAGAAATCTCTATAGACAGGCAGATCCTCAGTGACAGGAGCAAGCTGGCTCTTAGCAGGAAACAAGGAGCAAGTACTTCATGGAGACAGAACATTTTAAAGCTCGATAGTGTAGAAACTACACAGCACAGCAATGCAAACATAACCAATCCCACTGAACTCAGGTGAAAAGGGTTAAAGTGACACATTTATGTCACATGTGTAAGACTGGGGATGTGGGGAGCATAATCAGAATCAAATGCGTGTGTGACATGGTCAAATAATAAATAATAAAGAACAGTGTCCCAAACTCCTGTCGCTCCAAATCTTCTCGTTGAGCATGTAAATATCCTGAGCTGCAGGCACCAACCATGCCAACCTTATACAACCCAGTGCCAGGTCCTTCTCTGTATCAATCCACACCTGTGCCTACATGCTCTTATTATGGTTAGGACATAAAAATTTCCCAAAGGCTCAGAGGCTAAGGCTTGCTCCCCAGCAGGTAGCCCTACTGAGAAGTAATGGATCAGGAAGAAGTGGACGCATTAGCCACTGCTGGAGGAATGAGTCACTGGAGTGGACTTCTGAAGGTGTCTCTTTGCTGAAGTCGTCTTCCATCCTGTCCCCTGTCTCATGAGGTGAGCAGCTTTGCTCCTCCACATCATTTTCCAAAACCATGGGCTCTGGTAACCCTCTCCTCCCTTAAGCTGACTCGCAGATAATCAGCGAAAGAAAGCATGAGTAACATGGTTTTAAAACTCAACTGAGGGCTGGAGAAATGGCTCAGAGGTTAAGAGCACTGGCTATCCTTCCAGAGGTACTGAGTTCAATTCCCAGCAGCCACATGGTAGCTCACAACCGTCTATAATGAGATCTGGTGCCCTTTTCTGGCATGCAGGCATACATGCAGGTAGACCACTGTATACATATAAATAAATAAATCTTAACCAAAAAACAAAACAAACCAAAAAGAAAAAGAAAAAAAAAAACCCACACACAAAATAAAAAACAAAAACGCACAACTGGAAGGTGGGAGGTCAGAAAATATTTTGGTTATCAAGGAAGATGTAATCTCACTATCTCAGATCCACCTCTTGTTCCCTCCCACCAGAAAGCATTCTCTGAGGGCCTTTTAAACTATACCCTGACATTAAACCTAACTTTGGGTTAATGTTGCTTTAGAAAAATGCCAAATCATTATCAAAAAATAATAATCCACATTCAGAGTGAAGAAGAATTCATCTACACTCAGAATGGATTCCTGAGTGAAGGTGTCAGGCCTGCTTCAACAACCATATGGGTCCAACAGTGCACCAACTGAAGAGGAAAGTAAAAGCCAGTGCAGCACAATTTGCCACCACCACTTCACTCCAGGGCTCAACAATGACTCCCTCCCACACCCTGAACAGGTAAAGCCATGTGTGAATCAGAGGGATTCAGGCTCTGGAGCCATCACTGCACCTAATTATCACATCCCAAAGAGCTACACACACACCACCTTGGGCTTCCCCTCAAGCAAGTGATGGCAGGATAAGCTCAATCAAATCCCACGCTGGGAAAATGAAGCACTCATGTACCAACTAAACAAAATGGAGCTAGAGGCAGAGAGGCTTACACACTTTTCCTACCTGAACAATACAGCTTATTACACCCTTTCCCAAACAACAGTCTACAAAGACACTGGCCCTTTCCTAATGATTATGAGCTTGATAGTGCAGACAGGTATTAGAGAGCCATAAATCAAATTTAAAAGGAATCTGATGTTAGAAGGGGGAGAGAGCAATTCAATGGAGACCCAAGTTATTCATTCAGCCCATTTCACAAGAGTGTGAATGCTACATTTCTCGTAAGTTATAAATTCACCTAGAATGCCAAATTTAGAGTTTCTATTTAATAAGCTTTCACATGTAAATACAAAAGCATTAAGAACAGCAAAAATTTCTGGTGCTCTTCAGTCGACACCCCTGACACATTCTTAAAATACTTGAGAACCAAAGGGAAGGTCACCAGAGCCATGCCTTTGTCACAGTCTGTGGCAAGAGCACAATACTGAGAGATCAGCTCCCCACGCCCCTGTAGAGCAGGGGATGACAGTCAGTTCTTCTTGGCAATTGGGAAGCAGCGTTCTGAGGCCAGCCTGGACTACAAAGAGAGTTCCAGAACAGCCAAGGCTACATGGAAACCCTTTGTCAAAACCCTCTAGACTCCCCCCAAAAAAGTAGAAACAAAGTTTGCTCACTTACCGTGGGGTAGGTGGAGAACATGGTGTCTCTGTGACCTGGGTCTTTTTGGCATCCAGGGTCTGGAAATGGGCTATGAGGGCCTCCAGGTCTTCCTAAAGATCCAAAAGTAGCTACATGTGAGACTCTGTCTAGCCTGTCTTAGAGTCAAAAGCATAGCCAGCTTTTGTTGCATTGGTCTGACTAGACTGGGATCCAATTACACCTGAATCCTAACATGGGTCTGAAAACACAGAACTTGACACATTCAGGAAATATTTGTTGTGATACCAATGGCAGCTTTCTGTAGGTGCAGATGTAAGCATTGCCTCTTCTACAAACCAAGGGCTTTCCATGAAGGAGATCCTACTCTGGCCACACTACCTTTAATGGCCTCTGACAGCCTATTTGTGTCAATAGCCTGCTTGGGGAGGAAAGAGTTTATTGCATCTTACAGGTTATATTCCATCATGAAAGGAAGTAACATCAGGAACTCAAGGCAGAAACCTGGAGGCAGGAAATGAAGCAGAGACTTTGGAGGAAAGCCACTTACTTACTGGCTCCCTCGTCCCCTGCCTTGTGGAACCCATCTACATCAAAACAATACCCCCACAGACTTGCCTACAAGACAATTTTTAAATGTACTATTTTATGTGTGTAAGTGTTTGTCTGTGCACCATGTTCAAAAAAGGTGCCCACAAAAGCCAGACAGTTGTGAGCCATCATGTGGGTGCACAGAATCTACCCTGGATCCTCTGAAAGAGCAACAAATGTCCTTAACAGCTGAGCCACTTCTCCAGCCCCATGTAGGCCAATGCTATGGATCTATTTTCTCAACTGAGGTTCCCTCTTGCCAAGTTATTAGGAAGAGAGCCCAGGAAATCCTGTGCCTGCAAAACTACTGGGCATACCCTGTCACCCTGTGTGAGAAAGACCTAAGACAAGAGCAAGTAAGGCCCTTAGCCCGAAGTTCAGAGCTGATCCACCCACAGTTGCTAGGATAATGGGTGTGTGGAAATCTGATAGTGGGGGGCCACCACGAATTGTTCTGTAACCCATAGTTCCAGCAATTTGTTTGGTTACTTAATCCTACTTGTGCCTCCAAGAAGTGGTGCCACATGCTTTTAGTACCAACACTAGGGAGGCAGAGGCTGATGGATCTATGAGTTCAAGGCTAGCCTGCTCTACTGAGTGAGTTCCAAGACAACCAGGGCTACACACAGAGAAACCCTGTCTCAAAAAAAAAATTAAAAATTCTTATGACTCACTGGAGGTATATCTGCTCTCTTTTGGAGATAAATAAATAAACGCGGTACAGTTAAGACTTTAGGTCGGTCGGTGGTGGTGCACGCCTTTAATCCCAGCACTCGAGGCAGAGGCAGGTCAATCTCTGTGAATTCGAGGCCAGCCTGATCTACAGGACGAGTTCCAAGAAAGGCTCATAAGCTACACAGCGAAATCCAGTCTCAAATAAATAAAATAAGGACAAAACTTTAGTCCCAACACGCACACCTGGACAAAGGAGAAGTCATTCAACTTCAGGTTCTCCTCTACTAAACCCCACCACGCTGCTTCCCTCTACCAGAAAGGGAAGCCAGAAAAGTCGAACGGCGTCCGGAACAGATCTGATCTTCAACGGAAGAGTGGGAGAGCCAATGGGTAAACAAGGAGTACCGGCGCTGCGGAGAGGCGCGGGAGAAACGGCGAGGCCCGGGGGTGCCGGGCTGGGCGCAGGCCCGCCACCGCAGACCCGGGCTGGGCACAACACCGGCTCCGGGTCTCGCGCCCGCAGTCTCAGGCCACGCCACGCCTCCCTCTACCGCCAGTCCCTCCGAGCCCCGCTCACCTCCTCCTTCCGAGAGCGCTTGGACACCTTCTTCTCCATCTTGGCGGCCGTCTTCTCCGCGCCGCGGCCCTTCTTCTCCTTCTTGCCCTTCTTGCCCATCACGCCGGTTGTGAAGCGGCACCAGGAGACCACGGAAGGAGTGCAAGAGGCGTTCCGCCCAGCCGGAAACGAGCGGCGCGCTAAATAAAGGCCACTTCCTGTCCGTTTCTCTGGTGTTCCGTCAAGCAGCCGACTCCACTAGTGTTTTGAGTCCTCCAGCCGGTGCGTCCCGCCAGCCGATGCGTCTTGGCCTGTTTTAGTACATGGCTGCACCGGGGTGCACTAGCTAATTGGGTGACTAAACTAGACAGGAGCAAGTGAGATTCTAGAGAAATTTCCTCGCACTTAAAAGATTCCTGACCCGAGTTAAGGCAGCCCCGTTCCCTACCCCATGTAAAATGTGCCAGGCGCAGTCAGGCTCTCGAGGCATTGCTCTGAGCGAGAGAACAGCCTTTGCTCTTCTGCCGGCGTGGTTCCACCAGACCAACATGTCTCTCCATTGGGAGGCCTGGGCTTACCATGTCAATCTACCTTCCCAACGGTTTATGGTATGACAAATATGTGATAGGAATTTAATCTCCAGAATTTGATTCAAATGGTACAATGGAAGACGGACCCTGCAGTTTGAAAGACCAGAGTGACAATGCTCTTTGCCTAGAGGGTGTCATCTTTGGGCTGTACCCAAAGGTACAAGGGCAAGGACAAGGGCAAGCAAAATTTCGGCAAAGAGAACACAAATGATCTTCCTTCTCTATGGGAACGTTGCCAAAGCACAGCCTTTAAAGAAACTGCCTTGGATCTGGCCAACCACTAATCACTGAGCTCCCAACTCACTCCAGATTTTTCCATAATCCCAGTTCTTGAGAAGAAAAGTTACTTTTGAGAAAAACAACACTGTTGTGTGGTTTTTCTCGAAGAGATACACAGAAACAATGTTTCGCCCCAAATAGGGTGGCGTCAAAAGATAAAAGAAATGAGCTCCTTTTGGCAGCTGATACACTAAAATTGGAGCGATACAGGGATTAGCATGGACCCTATGAAAGGGTGACACGAAAATTCATGAAGTATTCATATTTTTCAGAGCTGAATTGAGATTGTTATCCTCAGAAAGCTCTTCTGGGCTAAAACCTATCTGCAATGCTGCCCTAGGTGTCCATCCCCCAATAACCCCACCTCACTTCCAAAGGGAAAGCAATCAGGACAGTATTTTTGCCAGTCAAAAGCCATTGGGGTTTTTTTTTGGGAGGGGGTCTAGGAGGATCAAAATATATTGTATGGCTGAGCAGGGGTGGTGCACCCCTTGAGAAGCAGAGCCCTTGAGAAGCAGAGGCAAGTGGATCTCTGTAAGTGTGAAGCCAGCCTGGTCTACAAAATGAGTTTTAGGACACAGAAAAATCCTGTCTCAACAAACAAACAAAAAGGTCTCACTAGCCTGGGCAGTGACTATTCATAAAAACTGTATCACTAGTGTCCTTAGCCAACCTTCCACCTCCTGTATAGTCTTATATACATCTGTAAAGCACTTGCAGCCTAGGAGGTGGGAGGGAGTGAGGGTCTGAAGGCCCCCCTTTCTACAAGAGAATGTTAATAGGCCCAATTTTGTGCAAGAATATTAACAGTCTCTGTTGTCCACAATATATAACAGTGCTCACTCTCAAGCCTGTGAAAGGGAGAGTGTGTTCCCTGAGGAAGATTTAAAAGGATCTGGAAGAGACGGGTTGATGCTTTTATTATCTGGAAGGCTCTTGGATGGCACATCGAGGTCACAGTGATTCAAGGGAAGTTGAAATTCCCATTGCCAGGAAAGAAGCATAATAAAACAGCCGTAGGTTGTTGGGTGTGTGTGGGGGGTTGTTTGTTGTTGTTCCTTTGCTTGGTTGTTTTGTTTTTGTTTTTGTTTGAGACAGGGTTTTTCTGTGTAACCCTGGCTGTCCTGGAACTCACTCTGTAGACCAGGCTGGCATCAAACTCACAGAGATCTACTTGCCTTTGCCCCCTGAGTGCTAGCATTAGAGGCCTGCACCATCACTGCCCATCCAAAACAGTTATGTTTTCAAGACAGAGATAGGAATATCATGCTTGGAGGACAGAGTTTCACTACAAATGAGAGAGGGGGGGAAAGGTAGAACCAGATGAAGGCCCTCATGATCTCCAACATTGCTGGCACATCATATGTGATGGCAGAGGGAGAAAAACAGGAAAGTTGCCTGATCAGAAAGAGACAGAAATATGGCCTGAGTTTCTAGACATCATTGTCTTTGTAGCAACAAACTTTATCCTGCCCATTGCTCAGGGGAACAGTTATGTCCCCTTATGCTGTCACCTTAAAAACATCCAGAATCCTCCCTGACTTTTCTGAGAATATTAGGTAACCTCCATGCAGCAGTACTGGGTACATCACACAGTCCACGATATATAACAGCGCCCCCTCTCAGGCCTGTGAAAGGGGAAGCATACCCCCTGTGGAAGATTTAAAGGATATGGAAGCAGCTGGGATGAATGCTTTTATTATCTGGAAGAATCTCGAAGCTAAATTGGAAAGCTCATGGATGATACATGTCACAGTGATTCACAGGAGGTTGAAATTTTTATTACCAGGAAAGAAATGGACTAAAGGAGCTAAAGTGAGATCAGAATCCTAAAATAGGGGAAAGATTAAGTACCGAGTCCTATTTTAATAAAATTCATATTTTTGAAAAATGTAATAGATTGTCTTAAATGTAATGCCACTTTTAGACTCTTTTATGTACGTGGTCAGGCGCCCTCTGCTGCCTCCAACTTGAATTTCAGAGGGGAAAAAAAAGTTCACTAAGAATAGAGGACCTGAGAGAGGGTGCTGACTGCTAACCACCTTCACCACAAATAACCAATGTGACTGCAAGGGCTGAGTCACTTCACTTAACATTTACTGAAAGTTCTACAGGAAGGGTGAGAAATCATTCCAGGCCACAGCAGGCAGGCACACCAGAGAGCAGGCTTTCTTCTATCCAGACAGGCAGGTATATATGAAGACATCCACCAAAGGAGCCAGGTGCAATATGGGAATAAGAAAAGGGGCTGGAAGGGATAGAGAGATAACTCAGCAGTTAAGAACACTGGGTCAGTCGCCTGGCTCCTACATGGTGGTTTACAACCACCGTCTGTAACTACAGGTCCTAGGATCCAGCACCCTCTCCTGGCTTCCTTTGGAACTGCACCTGTGTCATGGTGCACAGGGACATTCACACAGGCAAAGTGCTCACACACATAAAACAAGAATAAATCTTGAAGGAAAAAAAAGGAGGTGGAGAGAAGATGGCTCAGAGGTTAAGAGCACTGAATGTTCTTCCAGAGGTCCTGAGTTCAATTCCCAGCAATCACATAGTGGCTCACAACCATCTATAATGAGATGCAGGCATACATTCAGGCAGAACATTGTATACATAATAAATAAATAAATATTTAAAAGTAAATAGAAGATAGATAGATAGATAGATAGATAGATAGATAGATAGATAGCTAACCTGGGAGATAACCTGGGAGGTGGTGGTGCGCACCTTTAATCCCAGCACTCAGGAGGCAGCAACAGGTGGATCATTAACTTAAAGGCCAGCCTGATCTACAGAGCAAGTTCCAAAAGAGCCAGGGCTACACAGAGAAACTCTGACTGGGAAAAAAAACAAAAAAAGGAGGAAAGAAAGGTGAAAGGAAGGAAAGAAAGAATAGAGAGGGATGAAAACAAACCCATGTAATAGATGCTGTGTCTCGGTTTTTAGTTGTTTGCACTGGTGGGGCCTAAATTCAGTTTTGCATTGCACTGAAAGCTAAAGTTTTCCTCTGTAGGGCATTATTTAATGACCTACTATCTGGAGATCTTTTTATTAGCCCAGGGTCTTGTGTATGCTAGGCAGGTGCTAGGCAAGTGCTCTACATCCAAGCCCCATGTCATTGTCTTCTTGTTATTCATCTCTAATTCCTGCTTCTGTAGTTGGAAAATGCACTCTATTGCTTCTGGTCCTTTCCAATGCATCAGTGAGTTGGAGGGGGTGTTCAGTGTGTTCCTGGAGTGACTGATTCTGCCACTGAGTTCTGCAGCTGTCATGTACAGCTGATTAATTAATTGATGGATTGGGAGCTCGTTGTTTAGACTTTCTATCATCGTGGTTCTCAACCTTCCTGGTGCTGCAACCCTTTAATACAGCTCCCCATGTTGTGACCCCCAACCAAGCATAAAATTATTTCCATTGCTACTTCATAACCATAATCTTGCTACTGTTATGAATTGTAATATAAATATCTGTGTTTTCTGATGGCCTTAGGTGATCGCTGTGAAAGGGTCATTTTACACCCTTCCCAGAGGGTTGAGACCCCTCCCAGAGGGTTGAGACCCACAGGTCAAGAACCACTGTTCTATGGCCTGGATATGTTGTTGTTGACTTCTCCTATTTGTTTCAGTCAAACACAGAGAGGGAACTATTATGATTTCCAACCATAGGAAAGATTCGTACAGCTATTCTTTGTAAACAATGAACTACATGTGCTTAAAGTGTGCCCACATGGCTCCACCGGAGCAGGGAGATGCTGGGAAACACCCTGCCCTCTGGGAGGACACACCCACTCAGGCTGGAGAATGGAAGGGAATAAGCAAAGGATTCGTGAGCCCTGGAATTCCAAATTGGAAATCTATGTGCAAGTGAGTCATCTCTTGTATTTTTTGCAAGATTTAATTTTAATTTTTATGTATGTGTGTAGTGTAAGCATGTGTATGCAGTTCTGAAGGAGGCTGGAGCGGGACATTAGAGATGCAGGAGCAGGAGTTACAGGTGGTTGTGAGCTCCAGACAGAGGGCTGGAATGGAGTTCATATCTCTCTGTATGAACAGCATACACTCTTAACCTCAGAGCCATCTCTCTGACCCCAATTAAATATCTTTTCAATGGACATTTTCAAACTTCTTGGAATAAATCTTTCTATCTAAATAAAAGAATAAGACAACAAATAAATAAAAATGTAGAATTAAATATGCATTGGAATATATGTATCTTATGAGGCCATTGGCACAACTGCAAAAACACTCCTATCCCCCAGAAAACTCTCTAGTCTTTTCTTCCCTTCTGCATGCCTACTCCAGTGCTCACTGGTAGGGTTTGCTTATCATCTTCAGGGTTTTAGGAATAGAACCATAAAGTGAATGCCTTTAGGGAGGCATTAAGGGGACTCTGGCTTCTTTCACTGAACCTAATTCTTTTGAGAGTTGCATGTTTACCCAAGGATATTTTTAACATTATACACATACATTCTCATTTCCACCCCTACCTCTCCCTCCCTCTCCCTGCCCTCTCTTATGATAGGAACCAAACTCAGGGCCCCCTGCATGCTAGACAATCACTCTACCCTGAATCACAGCCCAGCTTAGTGAATTCTTTTCTTTGTGCAGACAGATCACACCTTATCTATTGATGCACCACTGTTTGTGTGTACTGGAGCTGCTTCCAACTTGAGGGTATTACTGAAATCTCTGCTTTGAGCAATCTGGGTCTAAACCTTACAAATGTGCTTTCATTTCTCTCAGGTATGTGATTAGGAGCAGAGCCTCTGTGTCATAGCTAGGTGTGTGTGTGTGTGTGTGTGTGTGTGTGTGTGTGTGTGTGTGTGATCTTTTAACTGCCCAGCCGTTTTCCAGTGTTGACTGTACCATGTTACATCCCCAGCAGTAGTGGTGGACAGTCCTGCTGGTGCTGAGCCAGACATTTTCATCTTGTGCACACTGTTGTATCTCACCCTGATTTGTCTTTCTTAATGAGTGTGGATCCTGCTTGTTCTTCATTTTGAAATGATGTCTTTAGTGTGTAATGAAGACATGCTTGTTTTCAATTTCGTAAAGTGTAACCAAACCAAACAAACCAATGGAGGAATCTTTAAGTCATTTACAGACTACTCTCCCATCATGACCAATCTTTGAACTGGGGAGAACTTCCTGCTGGTGCTGAGCAGCATCTTCACTGCGTTATTTGCTTTTATTGTGTACTGTTTTTCCAGCTGGCCATGGAACCGTGGTCCTGGCACATTCAGACAATGTTCCTACACTGAGCCATGTCCT